CTAATAAGCAAATTATATTTGATAAACATTTTATATAAAGATCGCTAAAAATACAAACAATTCGTCGAAATTCCACTTTTTGGTCGTCAATCCAAATAAACTCAAAGATGGAGTCATTCCTCTTATCAAAACCAAACACTCGTCCGTCGATCTCAAACATGCCTTTGAAGTTGACTTTTGCCACTTCAGTCCAGCCGTCAGCCCACTGACCGTTGGCCTCAAACTTGCGAGACATGAGGTGACCGGAAAAACCATCATAGAGTGCTAAAAGCAATTGATTTCTGGACCGCACGAAAACACCGGACTCGTAGTATAGCTCCTCTTCCTTCAGAGGTGGCCAGAAGTCATCGGATAAGGAGCCACTCGACTTCAGATCCCACAAAATCTCTTCATTGCTGCCAGTAATCGGAGTCAAACTCTTGCCGTCCGACAGACGATAAGTAATGTAACCGTATTTTCTCTCATCGCCGACAGTCACCGATCGTCGGCCCACTCCTATCACTAAACTCTTGGCTTTCTCGATCACATCACAATAAGTGGCACTTTGTTTGCTTCGATCGCATTCCTCGAAGTCAAAGCTGATGGCAGTGTCGACCCAATTAAATGAATCTAATTATAAAATCAAACTTATAGTATTTCATTTGTTATCATAAGTATCAATGTTATATTGTTATCAATGTTATACAAACCCTTTCCAAACACTGCTTTTTGATCGTATTTAATGTCACTGAGACTCTTGGAATAGGAGTCCAACTCCCAGAAATTTGTGGATCCCTGACCCAAATAGACATATCGGCCCACATTGTATGCCGACTGGAAGGGTGTGCTTGAGCTCGAGTTACAATAGTTTCCAAAAGCTGTTTTAATGATGTTTAATGTCGACAGACATAACAATATAATGTGTGTATTGATTAACATTTTGTTTTACCAACAAAACTGTATCAGACTTTAAACAATAAATGGCTAAAACAACACATGAATTAATTTAGCGATAAATAGCGTACAGAAAAATACTTTGCGATTAAATTGGCGAAAGTGTTGAATATATTTGTAAATTCAATGAAATCAGTGATTATAAAAAATTTTGACTTAGGAAACAGAAATGAACAAGTTTATTTGTTTTCACAAATTAAGATAACAGTTACGCTGGCTAATGATTAACATAATTAAATCGATGGCTAATAAATCTATGTCTGTCGAGATCCTAGACAATGATTTTGAATGGAAATTGATTTTGTGGTTAAATATTTCACTGTTTCCAAGAGTTGATGAACTTTTTTATTTTGTAGAAAACATTTATTACAGTTTAGTAGACGAAACACAAACCCCACGTTTGGCTGTGATTTACTCGTGAGACACACAGAATACACACCAAAATGTTTGGCATTTAATTCTTTGTGTGTTTTTCACACTTTTTATTCTCTGTGTCTCTCTCGAGATGATGTGAATAACTATTAATAGATTTTTGTGAAACTTTTTTTAAGATAACACTCAGACTTATTCATGTAATGAATGAATGAATGGAAAGACAACAAAAATTTTAAACGGATTTAAGGCTTCCGCTTAAACAAAAGTTATATGACTTATATTAATAACGAGGTTTAAGACTATAGGATATATATCTCAAAAATGTATGAATTCTTATTGTCACTCACTTTTGCAAAACTCCGAGATTATGTCAAATGAAAAGTTGACTTTCAGTGAAAGTGTCCCTAAAATTAATCGACGTATCGATGATTACCACATTTTTATGCAATATGCAAATTTAAATTAATTTATCGCAGAGAAAAAACTTTTTTTTAAGTAAATTTAAAAACAAACAAAAATACGAAACCAAAATCTTTTGCGAAATGATTAATTTGTTTCCAACACTACAAACACACAAACATCGAGTTGTTTATGCGGTAATTGATTCGTGTCTGCCTTTAGACACAACGGATTCACATCTAATTCAATGCAAACTTTTCCTTTTGGATACAAAAAGATCATTTACTGAACGCCTTTAGAGTCTGAGAACTCTTGACATGACTTCTTATTTTTAAACATCTATTCCTTAAGTTTTCTGCGAAACACAGTTTATAACAAAACTCTTTTCCACTCATTGAACAACACAATTGTATTTATAATTTATACCAAACATTAGTACAAATATAGATTCTGCAAACTTGAATTTGCAATACTGTGTATTGCTATCAACAATACATTACACATCAAAAAGTGATGCATAAAAATAAGTTCTTCATTAAATCCAACACTACTTCACGACAGTGAGGCTTAACATCAGACTTTGAAAACTTTGTGTGTGTTTCGAAAAATCACAAAACATTTGCTGACATTCACTGAAAATGACTGAATAATCGCAGAATAGAAATGTGTTATAAAATTTTGTTTTCGTTTTACTGGCGGATGGATTAAAATAAACATAATTTTGTGTTACGTTTCATATTTAATCCAAATATATTTAATACTACACAACCAAATACGTGGTGATAGTCTATACGGGCACTGCTATAGTGTTTTTTAGTGCCATAAGTGCTGCACTCATTTTAATTAATATTAAAAGCACTTATAAATATCAAGTGAAAGTAAATGAATATTCATTGCAACGTACACGATTTTATTTTTATTATTATCATATAGTTTTAATTGTCATAAAATTTACAACAAATATATAAATCACTGGAAAAAGTATAAAGAATTTAAAAACTGGTTTTATTGTATAAACTCGCGGACCAAACAAAAGTAAAACTCTCATATAATGTACCATATATTTCGAAACTAGGAATTTCGCAAATTCTTTGTGTAATGTATAGTAATATTTGGCAAAAACACAGGAACTGTATTTAAATTACGAATCGATTGCATCCAATCGATTGATTACAGCACTCGTAGCCTATGTTTGCATTGTTCTCAAATCGCCCACTCATTCACCGTTTGGTTTCTTTATGTAATTATATATGAGGTTTACTTTTCCATACAATCATCGCCTTTATGGCATTATAAAGGAATAGCAAAACATAAATAAATAAATTTATTTTATGACAACCACTTGAGTTACAAAGTGTAACCCAAATATGCATATATTATTTAATACGAAAAATGTTATATTAATATAATGAATAATACAGTATTTTAAGCAACACTTTTTTCACTTTTAATTATTAACGATTCAACGAATATATTAAATGAGATCATAAACTTGTGGCTGAGCAAACTCATCGGAAAGCTATTTATTATTTCAAAATTGATTTACAAAACACTCTTGACTTATAAACTTATGACAGAATCGTAGAAAACAAACAAAACAAAAAATATTTGAATTTAAAATTTTTTCGCTAATAAATTAAACATTAATTTAAAATTCAATATTTATAAGGGATTTTCTTTGGAAAATTAATGAATTATTAGCAAAAAATGTCTAAAATTTCTGTTTATTTAGTTTCGAAAAGAGTTCGTCAAAAAGTTGTCGTTTTATAATTTTACCGAAAATCGTTTTTGGCAAACATTTCATTACATAAACAGCGCTCAATTTCTTTCGCTTCGGTAATTGATCTGAAAATTAAGACAAAAACAGAATTAAAAACAATATTTGAATTCACATCACATTAATTACAATCAAACAAACAGCACAACAAACTACCACTTATTCACAATAAACTTATAAACTTTTAAACTTAAATTGAAAATATTTACTAACTATTCGCGAAATCCATGATTTCCGTGTGTAAGACCGTCTGTCCATTTAGGCTGTCCTTCAATACGACAAAAGCGGTGGCCGTCTGTCCGCACTCGTCGTCGGGAACGGCTATTACAGCCGCTTCTGAGACAGCGCTATGTGTTAAGAGAATTGACTCCAATTCTGACGGTGCAATCAAAATGTTGTTGGATTTAATCATATCATCCATAGAGCCGATGATATACAAGAGCCTGTCCTCATCATAATAACCTAAATCTCTGGTATGCAGCCATCCATTAGAATCTAACAGTCCTTCCGCGGCATCCGTACCGTTCAGATAGCGCTCACATAAACCCAATGCCTTTTGAACGCAAATCTCTCCGATCATATTAGCACCCAATTGGTCCCCATTTCCCAACTCTTTGACTATGATCTTAGTGTCGGGAAAGGCGACGCCAATGGAGTCATACTCTGAAGAGGTTTTGAACATTAGAGTGATTGGAGCCATACATCTGCTGTTAAAGAATGCTTGTCTCAGATCTTTAATATGTTTATAACGACTCATCAATTGGTTGGCTATAGTTTTCGGTAAAACAGATCCAAAGCTAATAACTTTAGTGAGAGATGGTATTTCACAGCTGCCTTCCGGCGCTTTCACTAGCGATATGATGGCTGAAGAGGTAAGTATAGCGGCACTGATCTTGAATTTATTGACATAATTCACAAACAACTTGTGATCGTATTTAGGCATTAAAGCGATTTTACTTCCGGTCGATATAGCGGTAAGTATTTGAAAGATTGAGATGTGATGCGCGAACTCTGCGTGAGAGGAGACCACTTCGGTCTGAGTGTAACCGAAGTACTGGGGATAGGATGTCATCTCCAGCGCCGACACTACGCTGTGGTGCGAAAACACCATCGCTTTGGATCCACTAACACAACCACTGGAGCTCACGATTAAACACTCCGTACGCTTCGGGTCGTTAGGTATGGCTATCATCTCATCGTTGATCGGATCGTAAGAATGAATGAGTTCTGAATATAAAATGAATTTTTCGTTTGTTTTCTTCCCGCCGTTGAATACAATTATTTTCTGATTACAGCATTAAATTAAATCAAACATTCAATATTATGCCGTAATATATTGGTCATTAAAATGCAATTAATTACTTGTGTGATGGGAATGCCGTCGCTAATCCTAATGGCATAATTTTTGGCACTATTAGCTATGGCTATGAGTTTAATGTTTTGCTGAATTACTTTAATAGATACGCTTTCTGTAAACATGAAAATGTAGTTTAAGAGCATTAATATTGTTTAATTAATGAACACTTTTAGAGGTTTCATTACGAAATGATTCGGTCGATGATATGCCATAGACTACGGCCCCAACTATTATGCCGGCCATATAGAGGACTAGGTATTCATAGGAGTTCTCTCCCAATACCCCGAATATATGGCCCTCTTTGAGACCCAACTCTTTCAATGCATTAGCCATTCGACGGCAATCGGAGTCCAATTCAAAGAAACCATGAGAAGTGTTTGTTTGACATTCAATCTGTTTGTTAACAATTTATAATTTAATATAAACTGCACTCAATTCATAAAATATAAACAACTTGAAATGATTTTACATTTGTAAAAATGTTTCATTTAGAAAATTTAAAAGTAAAGTCTAAGCCTTACACTCTAAGGTGTTGACAAATATTTAATAGAAATATTCTAGGTGCAAATATTTACCAAAGTTTGGTCGCTATGTTTGTCCAATTTGTCTAACAAATACTTCTGAAGCGAGACGTTTGGGACATAGATTTTAGGCGAATATGAAGTCAGTGTTATCGGTTCGGCCGGCATATTATGCTTTCCATACAAATACTTGTCCGCCTGAAACATTAAATTTAAATGTGATTTATATAACAATTACCAGTTTAAGGAAGAATTATTATTAATTATGCTGTTATTTAGACTAATTTTTTATATTGTTTCTTAAGATAGCATTTGTCAATAAAATAAAACAATACTCATTTATTCACTAATATCTCTAAGACTACAATTAAAGTTAGATAAGACATAAGATTATGATATAATTGTCTAAAGATTACAACAATAAAAATAATTGTATTACTAGTTGATTATAAACTTTATGTTAGCTTAGTGATGAAACAATAGACATTATATAGATATTAATTTATTAAACTATAATAATTTCAAACTTTTAAAATATAACATTAAATAAAATTAACATTAGTATACAATAAACAATATTTATATTTTAAGATTAATTAATTAACTATTTACCATATTGAACATTTTAAAAATTAAATTAATAAAGTATTAAATTATTTAATCACAAAAGCAAATATACCACTATACAGTTTACTAACCGAATGTCTAAACTGGACATTTGGACAGATGGCTAACATATTGGTTATACTTTAGGTTTAATTATAAAACAAACAGAAAATATAAATTGAATAGTTGATTTTAAAAGTTATTGATTCTCAACTCAAATGAAACTCTTGTCTACAATTCTGTAACTAAATGTAAAATGTGATGAAAAGAGTCACTGATTTTAGTAATGAATTTAAAGTGAAACGATAAGAATTAATATGAATTGTTATGTTATGTGCAAATAATTTAGTCGTAAAATGTCAGTCAGCCAACCGCTATGTATATAATTGATTATAAATATCACTTGACTGAATATTTTAAGTATTGCATTCTTTGCAGTTATTTAACCGATTATAGGTTGACATATCAAAAATATGTATTACACTATCGTACCACTACATTAATTGGCATTGTATTGATTTAATATTTAAAAATCATTTTATAACTATGTTACATTTTCATTTATATCTTATTTGTTAAATATATGCAATATTTTTACTAAATTTTTGAAATGTTGAAACAACTATTTAAAAGTTATAAACAAAGTTATAATCTGCAATTAATATTTTGAATAACATAAACACAATTAAGTAAATTATAAAAAGCTGTTGTTTTCTGAATAAATTGCATAAATATAGGGCAATAAATCTATAATATGATAGCATGAAAATGCTGCAATTGCAATAAAAATGAAAAATGTGTTAATTATTTGATATTTTAAACATGATTTAAAAAACAAATATTCAACAATAAATTGTTATTCATACTCTATTTGTACAAATCACAAGGTATTTAGCGATTTGACAAATAGAAATATAATATGACTTAAAATAACAATCCGATGGAAATAAAAGCAATTAAAATGTTTGAAATAAACGATAATTAGTTTTTATCATATTTAATTTCTAATAAAAGCCGCTGTAGTTAAATGAAAGCAATTTTAATTTTGAAAATAAATGATTTCGAAAACATTTTTTATTATAACTTATTTAATAAACAAAATATGAATCAAATTATGGCTAATATTTTCTACAGTAATGGATCACATGATAAACTCTTTGCAGAGAATTCTCATCAATTCATTAATCATTTTATAAAACTTTCATTTATTTTGATTAAAATCTTTTGAAATCTAATAATTAACATTTTTCCTGTCTTAACATCAATAGATATAAATTGATATATCATATCATATAAATTATGTTATTGAAATTGAAAACTAAATAAACAATTTATACAAATACAGTACAACTTTGACAACATTTTCTTATTGCAAAACTAAAAGAAAACTATCATTTTTGGCAAACATGTTGGAGCCAAATATAACTGTACTCATCAACTCATGAATTCATCTAAAATTTCATCAAAACTTTTGAGAAAGTTGTATAAAAACATTAGATGCCATACTCTTGTCAATGCAATGATAAGTATGTTTGAGTTTATCGATAAATACAGATAAGTCATACAATATTCTGTATTATTCTGACCCATATCTACAACATTTGAGTTATCAATACAAGCGGTTATATAAGTGAATGAATGGCTCAGAGAGTGAGAGTGGCGTAGAGTAGAGGCAAAAGAAGTCAATACATAGTCTTATATTTGCCTCAACTCTCATATTTCACTTTAAAAACACTTTCAAAGACTTCTCTCTCAGCTCTCAATCATAATATACTTGTAAGACATCAGTTCAATGCCCTTCTCATCACAAAACGCATCATAACTACTAAAACACATCTTATTATGTATACATATTTTTGTCAATAAGAAAATAAACCTCTTTATTATATGAATTGTGATATAATGAACAGTTAAAACAATTTGTTTCCATTGATATATTACAAAATTTACGTAAAAATAAAGTCAATGCTGATTTGATTAGTGAGAATATTTAAAATATTTAAAATATATAAAAAATTTTAAAATATTTAAAATATTTAATATAATTATGAAAAGTTTGTCGCTTGAAACAATCCCATCATATGTTGCATTGATCACACAATTAGTGGACAATTAGTGGTCCAATTGGATGACACAATGAATGGACAAAGTTTTCTACTAATAATGACAATTCAATTCTGTTTGATATACGAGTTCAATGTCTCACAGCATAATACAAATGATGAGGAAATAAGTGTATTAAAGGATAATAATAGGAGAAACTGTTCGTATGTTTACGAAGACGTCTTCTGTGACTGCGATGAAGATAATTATGAACTCAAGTGCTATAACGTGGAGGCCTCGGAGGACTTGATATTTGCGTTTAACTATGTGCTCAATGTGACCAAAATATACTACTGGACACTATTGGAGGTGCAATGCATTAATCCGTTTGATTCTGTGACCAAAACTTTTCACATCACGAATGAACTCTTCACCACTGGACCAAAGTTTGAGAAAATCGTTTTTGTCGGCGATTGCAGTAAAGCTAAGCATTACGACAATCTGTTGGCTGTGGACAGGGATATCGAGAGCATCGTTATGACCAAAAACACGGTCCGAATGGCCACCACTTGCCAGATGTTTCAGACCAAACTCGAGAGACTTCAGGAGTTGACGATCACTGACTCGCTTATGGCCGGAGACATGATTTCCGCCACTTTTTCCACCAAATGCTTGGGTTTGACAATAAGTTTCATTACTTTAAACAAAACTAATTTTTTAGTAGTTTTAGTTAAAGTTATAATAAAAATTAGAAAAGTTTATACAATAACAAATATTTTATCATTTCATAGCTTATATATAACTGAAAATTTTCATTTTATATATCATAAGAAACAGTTATATAAACGCATAGACACTGAGTTTACATTAGGCAGTGATATATTAAAGTCAATTAAAACAAACATTTATTTTAGCACTTAATTTAATTTATGGTTAGTTTATACTGATATGAGAAATGATAAGTAAATACAAAGCCCATTATAACATAAATAAATGTCAATTAAGGGCAATACGGGACTCGCAATGAGGCGCTTCCTCTGGTGCGGCTGCGGATCCGGTCGTGTAATGTGACTCTCATAGAGAGCGGAGCCTTCTTCAATTTGGCTGAATTGCAATCAATTGATTTAAGTGACAATCAATTGACACATCTGTCGCGGCAAGTGTTTGCCTCCCATTTGTATAAATTGCGGTCATTTAGGCTCAGCAACAACCGATTGACGGCACTGTCCGCCGACTTCTTCGAGAAACTGCCGCAACTCCGAGAGCTCGACCTCTCCGGCAACCTATTGACTACATTGCCCTTCATATCGGCTACCGGTGCGCCACAAGTCATTCATTTGGCGGCCAATCCGTGGGACTGTCGCTGCAAACTGGTCTGGATTATCAACGACAGCAACGATAAGAGTGAGAACCAGAGGTTCTTCGACGGACCCCTTTGTGCCACTCCTGAGGCCGTCGAGAACTATGCGCTTATGGATGGACTCAGATTTGTTGACCAAAGATTCTGCTGAAGAAGTCATGTCTATTGTCACCAATTGATTCATTCAATAATAGATTATATACTGTGTAAATCATTTTAATATTATATTAAATAATTAAAGATAATTAGACATTTATAGTAATTTCAATATAATTATATACATTTAAATGTAAATAGATATTAAGTAAATACTTTGCGTTAACATTTGACAAATTACAAGTTTAGAAATAAAGTGAAAAAATTAATCATTTTGACCGCAATTAGCAAAAGGCTTATTGTTAAAATTAACTTGATATCTACTTGATATTGCCCAATATTATGCATTCCCACTTCTCTATTGTTAACACTCTATTAATGTTATATAAATTTTAATCAACCACGGTGTCATATAAATTATTAGATTAAAATTAGAGTACAATTTAATGTTAATATGAAGTCATTTATAGATCAGTAATACTTTCCACTATTATATGCATTCCCTTTTATACAAAGAGTTTGAATAAAAATGTCAATCAAACTAAGAAATATAAAGTAAATAGAAATATGTGGGAAAATGCAAACTAAAAGTCTAATTAAAAGTCAAATATAAAACAGGGAGTACTTGAAATAATAAAAACATAAATAAAATATTAAATATTTTAAACTATTAAATTATACGACATAAATTAAGAAATAATAATATAAAACACATTTAATATTTGCTATTTACTACTCACTCATCAGTATTAATAGTATAAATTTTAAAAGTTATATACCATTAATATTCACAGTATGAAAGATTATCGCTAAAATATTGATAAAATATTAAAGTGGTAAGTTTTAAAAATATCATCACGTTTCCAATGATAAATTTCCAATTTTCAGTATATTTGAGATAATATGTGAGTCAAGTCATAGAAAACTTATTTATAATAATCTATAAATTCTTAATGGTTCATATAAGGAATACAAAACTTTAAGTGTTTAATATTATTTTTTTAAAATATACTCATTTTCAAAGTATTGCTATTATTAAATTTAACGTAACGTACAGAAAATAATGTACAGTAGTAATGGTTTTGTTGTATTAATATACAAATGTATAAAAGTATAAGAATTCCTTCATTAAATCATTAGAGATCAAATTAATTTAAAATTCGGTATTTCTAAGATATTCACTTCAAACTGAACATACAGTGCACTCATGATATGTAGGCGTTACATCAAGAATTTAATGTCGGGCCCCATTGTTAGCAGTATACATACTATAAGTTGCAAATATTATCTAGCAAACTATCGTCAATAGAACTGATTAGATGACCAACGATTTAATATTTTAAAAATTATTTTAAAAATTATTTTGAAACATAGTTTAAGTGTAAAGAGAAATTACTAATTAATATTCTATGCGTTTAATGTGAATATTTTTTGTATTATTCTCACTCTTTATAAGCATTTATAGTCATTAAACTTAATTGATTTATAGATTATACAAATTTCAACTGAATATTTAAAAACAAAAAACTATTAACATTAATAACAGTGAATTTATAACTTTTCTATGATTATATGTTTTCGCAAAATAATTATTTATTAGTATTAAATATCTTAAAAGCTAGATATACCATAATTAAATTAACACAAATTATTCTCGTAATTAATTATTATTTTTAAAATTAAAGGTCATTTAAAAAGTAATCATTACTTCAAATTAAAATGAAATTACAAAATTCAATTTACAAATTAAATGCCGTAATAAAAATCAAATTCAATTATGAAGCAATATTATTGACATTAAAACTACATTTGATTGATAGTGATATTAATTTGTGTAAAGTCTTATAAATAAAATTATGAATCGTTTGTTCAAATATCTGTGATTTATTGATACATTTTCGAGGGTTAATTCTGGTGTCTCTCAAAACAAGATTATTATTAATTATTAAATATAATAGTATCACAGATCTAAAAAAATTTATACAGTATTTGAAAAAAGTTACAAAAAATGAGATACCGTTCCAGACGTAGCCCCGGGGTCTCGATTTTTTCAGCGAAGGTTAAAACGAGCACTAAATTTGAACTGAAAATGTTTTTTCAGACTCTATTGAAAACTGTTTAGTGATATAAATCTTTTGCATTTACTTTCGCTTTTATGAATACTTTTGATTTTGGAGGACATCACTAAACGCGGCGTTAAATGCAATTCACATCTAATGTAACTCTTCTTCTTATCCTTTAATCTTATTTTTCTCTAATTTTTCATTTTATGGGAAAAACATTCAGACAAATAATTAGATCTAATTTCCAAATGAAATATAATTCACGTCAGTTTCAAATGCGTTTAATTAATTCTGGTCACCGCTCAAGGACTTAACCATAAC